CCTCAAGTTCGTGTCTCTTGTCCGACAGGTCCTTATTGAATACACCATTTTCACAAGTAAATTATCTCTGGGGTCAGAGTAACAAACCTGTCACGTGTGAGGCAGACGGTGCTCTTATTCTGGGAAGTGGACAGAAGCAGCTGGACCTCTGCTCCTCTCTGGGGATTTAGATAGATAAGTGACCATTTACTGTGCCTCCTCCTGCTGCCTGCCTCAGTAGGTCTGGGGACGCAGCTGATATGCAGTATCTGTAAATATTATGTATATACCTTGTGTTTCACAGTATAAATATGTATAAATATGAAGTGTAGTATAAGTATAAATATGTAGTGCTTTGGAGCGTTATCCCAAGGTTCTCTCAATGTTTTTTTTATGTGATGCAGACATGCAATCAGTGTTTCCCTTTTCCCAAGTGATCTCCATTTTTACAACAGCAGATTGGCTAAATCCTTACTATGTCAAAGCAGCTGGCAAAAAGACAAGAGAATATTTTATTGTGGTACAGAGCAGTCTCTCCTTGGGTTCAAGTAAGCAACCAGCTGTTGTACAGAAACACCCCCGATGGTGAAAAAAAATAAGGCTTAAGCACCGGTGTGGATGAGCAGGACCCAATTAAAGGAAATTGTCTTTGTGCTCCCAGCCTGACCCTTTTTGAAACACTGGAAGTATTGCGTGTTTGTCTAGATGACCCAGAAATTTAATAAAGCCTTTCCAAACCCAAGGATGCTGTACATAGTGATAAAAAAATAGCACAATAAAAAGGTTTCCTGGTAAAAAGGTGAGTTTGGAGTTTGGTGATTGTAACAGGATGTGTCTCTCGTACAGTCCGAGGAAGGCGTTCCGTAACCAAGGAGCAGCGACAGAAATAGTACAGCCTCTGAAAGTCCGGGATTTAGTCCCAGGTACAGTGAGCAAAGGACCAACCTTTGCTAACAGGAGCCTAGGGGAGGGAGTGTAAACAGGGAGTTCAGAGATGTATGATGGAGGCAGATTATCAGACATGACTCATGGCACTCCATGGCCAGTCAGGGCACTGCAACATACTAGTTCTTCCTGTTGATATGAAGATGAGAGTTGTACACTGTATCACAAGCAAAACAACAACAAATCTGACACACAGACATCGTAGACTACTCTGCAGAGTCTCACTGCCATATGCACATATATATATATACTTCTTTTTTATCTCCATGCTTGCAAATTGGTTCTAAAGGTTCCACCCAGATTGAAGCTGTTCAAGTAGCACGAAACACACGTTTCTGGGGCCGTCTTAGACACTATAGCTCATTAAAACACAGCTCATTAGTTACTGCTCACCCTCTCTCTCTTTTTTCTGACTGACGGTTTCTGATACAGGAGAGCTAGAAAGTACATTTCGT